CGCAAAGTAAACAAGTAACCGCAATGTTTCTTAGCGAAAAACGCAAATGTTTTGCAAGCAAATGCATATGGAAGCATATAGGTAGCGAAATTCAATTTAAAATGCAATATGCAAAATGGCAATGTATTTCTGTATTTAAATTTACATTTTCCATTACCGATACGTGCAAAGTTTGGTGCAAAAGGAAAATGAAAATTAAATTATATAATTTACATTTGCCATTTCCAACAGTAGTCTTAATATGTAAATTGAATGCAAATTTTAACGCTTTATAAGTTGCGAAATGAAAATGAAAATGTATAACACAAATTGATTTGATATGTGTAACATGTCCAAGCAGAAATGGTAGCAAAATGATCATTTAAATGCTATTTGTCCTAAATGCATTTAGACTAACAGTTAGAACACTCAGGATTGCATTTTCATCATGACGCTGTGGGATATTTGTAGCAAAATTCAGTGCGGCTTTGAAAATGCATTCCGAGCTGACCACGATATGCTTATAATGCATATATACGTGATATATGCGTCCATAAATGCAAAGTTTCTCAAGGGAACGCAATACTTTTGCGAGAGAAAACAAATGTTTTATGAGCGAATGGAACATTTCTTGGGGAAACACAATACCTTTGCAAGAGAAAGTAAAAGCATTGAATTTTTTCCCCCCAATCTCATTTTTTTTCCATCACCATTAAGCGACTCCATTAGGTAATTTACCATATATCAGTAGAAAAAATGAATAATTAGAAATATATGATTATTTTATTGATCTCATTTTGAGTGGATGCAGCCAATGTCTTGTGCTCGTGCACATCACTGTGTGATTTCATCTGGGTTATTATGCAAGCAGATGAGGAACTGCTGGTGTTTGGATTGAGTGTTGACCTTCTGCAGCTGGGAAGGAAATGCTCAGTGAATGTTTGATTTGTGCTGTTAGGCATGCATGTGGTCCTGTTATCCAAGTTTATGAGATTGGCTAGAGCGGAAAAGTGAAATAAAAAAAGTGCGGTTGCACATCACATATGCTACACTATGAATGACCCATAATAGGAGGTATTTACTTTATGATAAAAGGAGAGAGCAGCAGTAGAAGAGCAAATGATTAAAATTCAGTTTCCCACACAAAGAACCACATGACTTAAGACGTGCAACCTAATGCATGAGTCATATGGACTACTGTTTTGTTTTGATTTTAATATTTGGCGCTTAGTCATAATGAACCGTTGCATTGAAAAGAGCTTCTTCAAAAGAAATGCGTTCCAGGAAGAAAATAGCAGCATGAATAACTCATGTTTTCAAAGGAATTGATCCATGAATGTCATGAAGTTCACCTGTAATTGTTGGAAAGGCTCTAGAAATGGGTCAGTATTTTTCATTGTCGTTGGACTGTAAGCCTCTTTGGATCTGGACTCATATGACAGTTTCCACTTCAACATGGATCAAAGACAGTATAATCTGGTCGAGGCAGATTTACAGGCTGGTTAATCAGAGGTCGTGAGTATCTGTCTGTTTCCTTCCTCACTGCTCATTAGGGCTGGACGATACAGATAAAAAAGAGTGTGTGTGTCTGTGTGTGTGTGTGTGTGTGTGTGTGTCT